AAGAAAAGAAAAAAAGAGGGGGGGGGGGGGGAGCTAAAACCAATGCAGCCAACACATCTAAGGATTGATAAGCTGCAATATAATAAAGTTTTGTTTTTGGGTGCAGAAACACTTCGGCCTCTTTTTAAGAAGTTTATGCTATTTTGATGAAAGTGACCTGAGTACAGTTTAATTGAATGTAGCTGAGGATATTTGCACTGTGCTTTACATTGCCATGTTGAATATGTTGCAAAATATTTTACATTTAGGGCCAGTTCCCAGTATCCAGTGCGTTCAGGGCATGGTTCCGTGTCATGAATGCAGTGAATTGCATCCACAAACCCTTCCCACGTTCTGGGGCGGGAGGGGGTGTGGTGGTACCATTCATGTCTATGCCACTGCAGACACACCTCCTGCCCGCAGTTTTTGATGCGATTTTGGCGCGTTCCTTTGTGTATTTTTGGGGACGGAATTTTGGTTCAGTGTGCTCCAGTGCATAAGCATGCATATTTACATGCTTTTTGGAGCATCCCAATTGTGCATGCCGCATACCCCCCTGCACTGGAAAGGACTGCACTAGTGTAAACAGAGCACAAAAATACCATAGGAATACATTGGGATGCATTTCAGTGCAGACAAAAAACGTTCTGGTCCAGATCTGGTTTGGAGATGGTTCATTCACATCTATGTGCATGCACCACAATGCACATTTTCATGAGCCAACACACACCAGTGTACATGCATTCTTGTGCGCGCCTCCAAAATGTATTCACACTGCATATAGGTATAGTGCTTTACAATACGTGTCTATCCATGTGACTATGTAAGACTGTGGTGAAAACAAGCCCTTAAAGCTGCATGCACATTTTGTTATTTAAAACACCATAATCTTTTTTCTTTTTTTTGCTTTTTAGATAATGCTTAAATTATAATTATTTATGTTATTATTGTAACTATTGTTGTTCAGTTTTGAAACATATCTCTCACCTTTCCAACCATTTTCGTCAAGTTCTCCTTGGGAAAATGCAATTTTAATTTCTCTTCTATTACAGATCTAACGGACTCCATTGACAATGATTCCTCCAGGATTTCAGCCAGGCAGTCGGCAACCCCCCCGGAACCAGCAACTAAGAGGCATGGGATGGGGCTCATTGTGGCGTTGTAGACTCTCTGAAAATAGCATTAGTTAGGTTATATAGAGGTCAAAGTGGTGATCAATGGAACAATCAGTAATGAAATGTCTTGCAAGATGGACCAGATGAATTTTACAGTAGAATAATAGATAAGGGGCCAATCTTCCCAAATCTGATATTTCAGTTTGGGCAAATGGATTCTAATCCTTGCTTCTATTAAACGGGGACATTAAATGACAGATAGCTGCATTAGTTCACCATAACTGTCTTAAGGAGATGTCCCTTTGGCATTACTTTAAGGAAACACAGCAGAAACTATAAGAGATATGAGCAAGTGAATAAGATAGTAAGGGGATGTTCAAGGGAAGATTTTGTTTCTGTAACCTCTAAGATATATATGTCTTACCTCCAGCATCTTGGACTCTCCAGCAATAAGCATGCACAGAACAGGGATTTCAATGCTTCCCTTACCTGGAACATAATATAAAATTACTGCAGCATCTAACAGTGTGAATTTAAAAAAAAAACTGTAAAAAATAGGATTTCTAAACTGATCATTAATTCTTTCTCTCCAGTAGTTTATCAAGGGACACAGGATCTAGGTAATGGGCAGCACGGTGGCTTAGTAGTTAGTGGTTATTACCTTGCAGCCCTCGGGTCCTAAATTCTGGCCAGGACACTATCTAGGTTGGTGTTTCTCTCTGTACTTGCGTGGGTTTTCTCTGGGTACTGCAGTTTTTTCCCATACATCCAAAGATATGCTGGTAGATAAACTGGTATTAGTATGTGTGTATGCATGTGAGAATAGGGTGCCTTAAATTGTAAGCTTCTTAAGGGCAGGGGCTGATGTGAATGTACAGTATGTAAACTACTGGCGCTATTTAAATACTTGTAATAAATAAATGTATGAAAAAAGCAGCTGCCTTTGAGAGGTTGGATACTAGGCAAAGTAAAGTGTGCAGTCCAAGCAGTGAGAAAAGCTGTAGCATGGTGGGGAATCTTTCTGAGAACGTCGTTAATGAAAAAATGCCAACAATGGAAAAAGAAAGCACAATTGTGGGTGGAACTGTGACCAAATTAATTACCAGTTAATTTTCCAAGTAATTTATTTGTTCATTGGGAGACACAGGATTTAATCTTCTTTGTATGGGATGTCCTAAAGTAGTCCCAAAACATGGGTCAGGTAAAACAAACTAGGCAAAGACAACCCTCAAGGAAAATGGTGTGTTTTGATCATGCTACAACCTGCAAGACTTTACATCCAAAATATAATACGCCAATATAGCGATCCATGCAATAAAACTTGGTTAATGTGGGAATCGAGGACTAGGTAGCAGGTTTATATACCTGGGGAACTGGTGCCTGGTATAAGAATGAGAAATACTAATCACAAATTCACCTAGAGATAGCTGCACTGGAGGTCAGGAATTCTTCGCAAGGACCATCTGGAATGACAAACAGGGAGGCTGTGGCGTTCAAATAAGCCCTGACAGCCCAAACCACATCTAGCATGTGTAAGGCAATTTCCTTTGGATTTGGAGAGGATGACAAACAGGAAGAAGGAAGCACACTGTTCTAGGTTAGGTGGAAAGAGGACACAACTTTAAGCACAAAGGAAGGCATAACTCTCAGACCAGCCTTATCCCTATTATGAAAAAGAAAAGGTGCCTTTCAAGACAAGGCTGCCAGCTTAGAGACCCTCCTAGTTTAATTGATGACAATAAAAAAAACACCTTCTGAGACAGGGTCACAAGAGCAATGTTTTATACCGGTTTAAAGGGAGACCTGAAGAACCCCTATTGAATTTTACTGCTTCATAAGAGAGATTTTCGCTCACTTACTGGCATTATGCCGGTGTCTTTACCAGACAGTAATTTTAGTGAAAACCTCAAATAACAACATCAATAGCAAAACAAATTCTTATTTTTTAGTAAAGTAAGGAATGGCTAGAACCTTTATACACTTTGTTTTGCTGTCTTTGTTGCTGTTGCAGATTTTTCCTCACTTCCGTTTTAGTTTAGTGAAACTATTGTCACTAACATTAACGAAGGGTACATTTCTCAAATGGAGTAAAGAATAGCAATAAAAAAATCAACAGGAGTTCTAATTCTTCTCCACTAGGAACTAAGCAGCTGAAGCAAGGTGTTCTAACAGTTGGAATATTGTGACTATAATCCTGGGCAAATGTATGGACCAAGGAATGGGAGGTTAAGGGCTGTTGGAACAGTAGTAACACTGCCTTAGAGAGGCCTCTTTGTCTTAGAGTGCAGGATTGGACCTTGGGACAGGAGGTCCAGTGGAGCCAGGAAAGACCATGGAAAGTCTGTGACCAGATAAATTAGGCTCTTCTTGACTAGTCCAGAGCTATTAGAGTGGTGGGAATTCTTTCTAATATGATCCTTTACAGGAGTTAAGGGGAAAAGCTTTAGTGGTGGAAACCTATACAGCAGGGTGTATTGCATCCATGGAGTGACCAGATCACCGACTGCATCCACCAGAGGGTCTCTTTTGATCTGATAATTAACATTTTCACTTAGCGATTGTGACTGGTCGCCATCAGATCCATGCCTGACACTCCCCACTTGCTTCTCTTTCTAGTGTTATACATGTTGCTAAGCAAAGGGAACAATCTCAATCGAAGTTACAGGTGCATTGAGACAAGCGGCACCCACTTCCTTTAATGTGCACCAGCCAAATTGGCATAACACTTATTTTATATTGATTACATGTTTCTTATTCACATATAATATTTTTTTTTTAAATGAAGGAAACATTGTTTTGCTCAGAAATGCAAAGAGGCTGGACAGGTTACTAAAAACATAATTAACCTTGTCTGTACTGTGCATGGCTGATCCCATTATCAGTTGTAAACTAAATTTGTACACTGCCTGCCATAACAAAGGGCTTAAGATCTAGGGGAAGCTTAGTCTGTCACTAGTCTTTCTATGGGGACAGGCAAAGTTTCCTGCTAGTTGGTTAAATGGGGAGAGAAGCTTGCAAAAGGTTGCAACACAGACACAGCTAAAAGGTAAGAAATGTATTTTAAAAAAACTGCCCTGACCCGTCGAGGCATGAACTTAACTAGACCCATGAAAGTATGCTTTGGTATCTAGCACCAAGACGTCAGCAGCAGATCCTTTAAATGGTGTAAGTTGTGAGGTGGGGCCCCATGGATCTGACCTGTTTTTTTCAGCGTATTCTACAGATGCTGGATTGTATTGAGATTTGGAGAATTTGGAGGCCAAATAAACACCTGAAACTTGTTATTGTGTTCCTCAAACCATTCTTGAACCATTTTCGTAGTGTGGCAGAGCACATTATCCAGCTGAAAGAGGCCACTGCCATCAGGGAATACCGTTTCCATGAAGGGGAATATTTGGTTAGCAACAAAGTTTGGGTAGCTGGTACATGTCAAAGTAACATCCACATGAATGGCAAGGTTTCCCAGCAGAATTTTGCCCAAAGCATTACATTGCCTCTGCTGGCTTGCCTTCCTCCCATTATGCATCCTGGTCCCATCTCTTCCCCGGGTAAATGACACACGCGCTCTTGGCCATCCATATGATGTAAAAGAAAGCGTGATTCATCAGACCAGGCCAACTTTTTCCGATGCTCTGTGGTCCAGTTCTGATGCCTACTTGCCCATTGTTGGCACTTTTGGCAGTGCACACAGGTCAGCTGTAATGGTCGTACCCCGGTGAGGTCGGGTGCCGCCGTCCGTTGCGGGCCTGTGCAGACACGTCGGGTCCTCTCCTCCTCGGGTCGCACACAGCAGGTGACGGCTCCTGGTGTCAGTGGCCGGAATCGTGCTGCGCAGGCGCGTTATCGATCGCCGGCGCCTCTCTCTCTGCCGGGAGATGCGTCCTGCGCAGGCGCGCCCCGTAGCTCCGCCCCCTCTAGAGCGAGCGCTCGGCTTAAAGCCTCCGCTCGTTAGTTGATCGGCGTCCCACTATTGATGTAGGTGGACGCTGATCAACTCAGCACTCCACACGCTCTCTGGACCTCAGCAAGCCGTATCACTGCCGCAAAACAGCAGGCTCCAACCAGTGTCTCTGCCGTTAAGCCAGCTCCAGCCTGTGTCACTCTGCCACGAACTCCAGCAGAACTGCAAGTATTTGATTTAGGAAGAGCAAGCTGGCTCCAGGTCTCACAGACCAGACAGGTTTATTGTCAGCTACTTCTACTTACCAACTGCTGTACTGTTCTCCTCCTATGAAATCATAAAATTGCCATACTGCTCATCTCATGGTGATTTAGCCGTATGCTGTACTGTTAGTTATGCAAATGCTGTGTTACTCAAATAATACTGATTAGCCTCTGCTGTGTTTCCTCATCTCATGCTGAACTTAACCATTGCAGTACCTCTCAGCTAAGGCTGAACTTAACCATTCCAGTACTGCTCATCTCATGCAACCAGACCATTGCCATACTGTTTATATCATACTGGTTATACCCACTGCTGTGATTAACCAGGTATAACCGTGTCTACTCAGCATCCTTAAACCCAGCGGGAAAATGATGTGAAGCAGCTCCCTCTCAGTCTCATACAAAAACGGGGCACGTGAGGGCAGCTGTTACTCTGATACCCGTACCCAGATACCGCAGTTGCGATCCATATAGCAATAAGAAGAACCGGTCCGGGGCGATTATTACATCAGCATGGGTACGCTGACCAGTCTGCGGCTACGCAGTCCTATACGCAACAAACTGCAATGCACTGTGTGTTCAGCCACCTTTCTATTGGAACCAGCATTAATTATTTTTAGCAATTTGACCTACAATAGCTCTTCTATTGGATCAGACTACACAGGCCAGCCTTCACTCCCCATGAGCCTTGGCCACCCATGACCCTGTCGCTAGTTTAAGTTCGTCTCAGCACATAGCCATGTGCAGCTCAGTGTATGGTCTAAAGAAGTTTGCCAGCACACAGGTAAGAAGCTTTATTGCAAAAGAGACATAATATATCGCTTCTGTAGCAAAAATAAAAACTGCCTGCTTGCACCTTTTAGGGTAAAATTCACTTTAAACTTTTGGAGTTCCACCTAGATTTGGAAGACTGAGAGGAAGGTGCTGAGTTTGTGCAACATTTAACTAGCTCAACTGTACTGATGGTTAGTGTAACAGAACCCACCGTGACCTGGGCTCCTGGAGGGGCCTGGGGGACAGCCACCTTCCCAGCGACTATGGACCGAGGACTATGGAGACCCCATCTTGGACCTCTTGGGTTACAAGGAACTGTCACAGACCTAGGGCTGCAGTAATTTATTACCCTGTAGAACTTTGTTGGCTGTGTGTTCTACCTGTTTAATATTTTATCTGGTGAGAGCTTCTCACTATTTAACTTTTTTGCCAATCCAGAGTTCTATCTTGTCTGGATGTACCATCTTCGCCTAACCAGGCACCCAGCCTGACTCTTATGGAACTGTGTGGCGGCAGGGACCAGCAGGGATCACCCTAAAAGGGCTATCATTATGAAGGAAGCTTAATTCTGATTGAGGTACCCAGTCGGGGGCACTAGGCGGTCCGTCACAGTTAGAAGCTCTAAAATTTGAGAACCGTCATCACGAACATTGCAACCCAGTGACCTGCAATGCGAGGAGACTGCATGTGGACCTTGCTGAGGACTGGATCTATAATGAAGCTAAGTAAAAACTTTATTTTTCATCTTGTAAATTGTGTGAAAGTTATTGTACATTGGTACCATAGATCTGATCATTGGTTTAAGAGTCCAAAGTGCTGGCACTCTTTATTTGGAAATCATGGGCTCAAGCCCATGCACTGCAATTGGAGACCTCAGTAAATGTTTTATTACAATTAAAAACAGAGCTGCGCTGGACAGCAGTATGGGGTACAGATTACTTACTATCTACCAGTCGAGGTTAGCATCTGGACCTGCTTCATTATAGTTTTCAAGTTACCTTCACAATTAATATTGTGTCCTCCTAAATACCTCAGGACTTCCACCTCTTCTAACTTAGTATCACTCGTACAATTATTTAGTAGGAAGCTACTTCGGCTGTTTCTGTCTTATATCTGCTTCTACTGCTTCCTGAGCATTTTGAACTTGACTACCAGACCACCAAGTCCCACCAATGCAACTTTTATCCTAGATGTATCATTTAAAAAAAAAAGAGTTTACTGCTTGTAAAACTTTGACTTCTGCTGTTACCTTGTCATGCAAAAGCTCCTTCCACGTGTCAGAATGAAATTCAAAAAAATATCTGAGTATCTCTTGCACAATTTTTGAAGACTCTTTTTACTTATGCACCAATGGTTACTGTTGTTTTAACTGGCCCCCTAATGGCTCCTACCAGCTGTCAAATTTAAACACTAAGCAATATCTTGCTGTCCCTGACAATTTCTAGAATAAGTGGCTCATGCTACTTTTGTACCGTATGCCTTCTGCAGTTACTAATGCTATAAAACTCCTGCCAGGCCTGAATATCTTAGTTTCTCTACTATAGTGATTGAAATGAGTGTCTCACACTGATTGTGCACCTATGCCTACCGCTGCTGTTATCTTGTCACCCTAAGGCAGGGGTAGCCAAACTCCGGCCCTCCAGCTGTGATGGAACTACAAATCCCATGTGGCATTGCAAGATTCTCAAAGCTACAGACATGACTCCCAGAGAGAGATGCATCATGGGATTTGTAGTTTCACCACAGCTGGAGGGCTGGAGTTTGGCTACCCCTGCCCTAAGGCTTCTGCTAGGAGCAAATTCTGAGTAATATCTTGCTATGCCTGATACAGTTATTGGAGTGAGTGGTGCATGGTTCTTCTGCACCTATAACTACTTTCATAGTTACCTTGGCAAACCAAGGCTCCTTGCAGACCCAAACTCTGTGAAATATCTTGCCATCGCTGGTACAGTTATTGAAATTAGTGTATGACACTGCTTGTACAACTATTCACCTATTCCTACTTCTGTTGTTATCTTGCCATACCAAGGATTCTGCGAGGCCCAAATTCTGAGTAATATCTTGCTATCCCTGATACATATATTACATGCTGATTGGGCATGAATACTGCTCACTACCACTACACTGTTCCTGCCACCTGTAGAATCAGTTATACCCTATCCAAATATTATGCTCTGCAAAATTGACCTATCAGGGATGCTCATTAACATCTCTACTTTTTATTCTTCATTCTTACATTAGATCAACTTTTTAGACACATCACGCAAACCAAGACATCATGGGATATGTGGTAAAAAATACCATTACAAAATAGTGGCAGAGCAGGGGATTTAATATTTTTAGCTACCTGTCCGAAAATAATTATAAATCTAGAGTTCTATACCTGGTTATTAAGATATAGAATATTTCGAATAAACATTCTCCCCCAGCTATTGTATCTCCTGTAAACATTACCCATTTAGATTATCAGTCGATATCTTTACGCTCTGTGCAGGGAAAATCTCTCAAAATGTTAAACTGATAACAATTCTGAAAATTTTTGATTTGCTAAACCTGCAAAGGAAATATAACACATGGAATCTAATTTGGTTGCTGTGAACAGTATAACATGTTTCATTGTTCTTATCTATTAATAATACAAGAATAATGCACATTTATTATCTGTATATGTCCCTATCTTCATGACCTGCTTTGAGTATCTTTACCTGGTAAATAAATCTAAGTGCAATCGTTCAGTTGCACATTTATAGGCTTATTTAATAAACAGTGCAAAGAGCAAATGATGATGTGCCAAATACATAGTTACATAGTCAGGTTGAAAAAAGACACAAGTCAATACAGTAAGCTACAGAATCCAATCGTCAGTGAAAGCAGACTGCCTATTGGTTGCTGTAGGATATTGCACTTTGCAGACTGTTCATTGCCCCACTGAATAATCTGGCTAGACTTTACACTTACCCCCAACGCCAGTCTTCTGCCGTGATATGTGCTGCTCTAGCATGAATCTAAAGCTAGTTTCACCTCCCATTTGCTCATTGGTGCCATCGTCCGCTAAGAGGAAAACAGAATAATTGTTGTCCAAGGAATAAGTTGGCCCGTCCACATTTTCCATGTTGTATTTTGCTGGAGAAGACCCCTGAAAACAATGGTGACAACTATTAATAAATGCAATAAAAGCTTACCATTTCAAAGGCTGTCTGATCTAAAGCCTCCTACTATAGCACGAAAGCGGGGCTCATTCACCACTGCAAGTCATGCCACAGAACAAGCATGCAGCCCAGCAGCCAGAGAGAGGCAGCTTCCCTATTAGCCTAAAAGCCGTAAACAATACTTACTGGCATATTTATGAAACCATGACAACCAAAAAAAAACAATAGGGCCCCCTCAGTTACTGCCACTAAACTGTCATATGCAATGTAGTCTAATAGCATTTGCCACTGCATTTCATGAACAGGGTATAATGAAAACCATAACAGGCTTCATATAAGCCCTGTGTGGCAGTAACAGTACACTGTAAAGCAGTTTTAGAAATAGCCTGCTAATGATAAAACTTTTTTGGGGTTTGCATGATGGGTCGTTAATAATAAAATTAATAAATACATTAATAATAAAATTAAGAAATCACTGGATCGAAAAAAATATATAAGAAAATTACAAATATATCACACTGCTATACCTATTTAAGGTGAACATGTAGAGTACAAAAACACAAAAGCCATAAGGTGTCTGCATCAGAACACTCCCAACAATATGCTGCCAAAGCCCCTACAAATACCCTGTATCTCCATAAGAGTGGCCAATCACCAGGCTTGAGCTGTGCCACATGGGGTTGGTGGACCTTGCTCAGCTCTGGGCAAGTTCTGGCATTCTGTGCTGGTGTGTCTGTTATGCAGTGGCTGTCTAAAATTGTTTTTTTTCATCACTGGGTCACTTTAGGCACATTTGTTTGTAACAAAATGTTTATTACATTTGTCAGTGAAAAATAGACATAGCCCTTTACTTGTGAATATTCAAACATATGAAATCACTTGGTCAGCGTAAAACAAACAATAAAAGTGCAACTCAGATACAAATACTGTTATAACAACCACATTACAATGTAAGGTAAAGAAAAGAAAAGACAGGAAAAAGGAGAATCAGATACAAGGTCTAACAGTCAGTCTACATCACTTTAGAACATTGAGGGGCCCAGCATTTCCGCCACCAGACCTCCCCAACCCCCCTCCTATCTCCACTCTCTATCACAAGCAACGAAGGGTGTGCAGATCCAAGTCAGGGTGCTGGGTCAATAATCAAAGCTCCCAAATATTTAAAAATGTATCATGTTTATCAGCCAGAATACCTGTTAAGCCTTCATTTAGCATAATGTTGTCTAATCTCTGGGTGAATTCCAAGTAGGGGATAAATTGTTTCTTCCATTTACTGGCCAAGGTTAATTTAGCCGCTAGAAATATACAATGCATAAGGGAGAGTTGGAATTTAGACAAACCAGGCACCATCGTGTGCAGCCGAACTTGCCTGGGGTCCTTAGGTCGATGTTTACCAAACATGGGTTCCAACAACTGATATATTTTAGTCCAAAAGGGCAGGCAAATGGACAGGACCACCAAGTATGTAACATGTCCCCAGGTGCATCACAACCACAGAAACATTTATCTGAAGTGGTCGAACAGTCATGCTAAATGTACAGGAATTAAATAAATTCGTAACATCGAGTAAACACCTGGAGACAGTATCCCACACCCTTTTCCAGTCCTCATCTGTCCATTTCAGTTTAAGGTCAACCTCCCATTTTCTACGATAAGAGTGCAGTCTAAAGTTCGTCATACAGATGGGAATATAGAATCGACACCAACCTAGGCCCACCTGGGGAATACAACCAAATGTGCTCAAAACAGGTAAGCGGGTTATTTAAATCCTTCCTTCTCCTCAAGGAGGTAATCCAATGTTGTAGTTGTAAAAACCTATATAATTCCAATTCAGGAACCTTTTAATGTTCTTTAAGGTAGGACCAAGTAGGGGTGTTGGAAAACCGCAGGAAATCATATACTCTACTATATCCATTGTCATTCCACCACATAAATGCACATGGATCAGTATACCCTGCAGGGGCGGACTGGGCCGGGGGGGCAGGGTGGCAATTGCCCCCCGGGCCTCTCTGATGCCATCGCGAACGGCCGCTGCCACCTGCACCGCCAGCCCTCCGCATCCGACGCGGCTCTATGAATGGTGCGGCCGCTGCTCCTCAAGGAGGTGCTCGGGAGGCTCCAGCAGGGGGCGCTCTAACATGCCGCGTCTACCTGGTACAGCCAGCGCGGATCGCCTCGGTATGCGATCCGGCTGGCTGGATCAGGCAGACGCGGCCCTGTAATCAAGCTCTGTAGAGGGCAGCCCGTTGGGTCCTTCTGAGGACCCCCTTGAGGACCGAGCAGCAGCCGCATAGGATGCGGTCCGGCCGGCCGGGTGCAGGTGACAAACAGGCGGCAGAGGGAGATTGCCACTGCAGCTGGGGCCACAGCAGACACCCCCGCCCCCCCCAACCAGAGTCCATGGAGCCCCTACTGACCACCAGGCCAAGGTAAGGTGACAAAATGTTTAAAAACAAAATCCCGGGACATTTTATCCCCGGGAGCATAAAACAAACTTTTTTT